GACCTGATGAGCTGAAAGGTCTTTTCCAACCTGGTTGATCCCGTGATTCCTGCTCTTTGTGCTGACTCTGTTTTTCCTTTCAGAGGAGGGAACAGAAGGAGAATCAGGAGAGAAAGAGGAGAAGGAGGGCTCCAGAGGGGTGAGTAACTCCTGGAAGCTGCTTTGGCGTCATTAAAAGCTGTAGTTCTGGTGAGGGCAGATCCCTGGAATCCCACATTATTCCCAAAGCAGGTGGGGAAGAAAACCCCCAAATCTACTGCCTGCAACAGCGAGATGGGTGGGATTAGGATGTGTCACCACATGGGGATGAAGTAACCCCTCATCCAGCTCCTTTGGTGTGGTGGGATGAAGGCTCAGGGATAAGACCTGCAGGTGTAGAGGCTTCTCCTGCTGAGTGGGTGATGTCCCTGCAGGAAGGGACCATGGAGCAGCCAGATCCAATGGAGATGCTGCTCCTCCATGCAGAGCCCTGAGTGCCAGGAGGGCTTTGGAAGCACCAGGCTGGTGGAGATGTCAGAGCAGCCTCCAGCCATCCCCATCCCTTGGTTTTAACTTCCCAATGTTGCCTTTCTAGGAAGGGGAGGATGAAGAAGGAAAAGATCCAGAGAAAGGTGAGTTGGTGGCTGTGCTCTTTGTGCGCCAGAGCTCCACGTGGAGCAAAGCCCCTTCCCATAGAGGGCTCCACGTGGCCAGAAGGGACGTTTCCAGTGCAATTCCATGAGCTTATCCATGGAGAGTCCATTTGCCTCATGGCTTCATTGTCCCTTGTGGCTCATTGTGTCTGGGTGACCTGAGCTAAACCTCTGCCACTAAAGCAGTGTGTGCCCATCACTGGTCTGGTGATGGACACCAGAGGTGGGGTGCTACAAGCGAGAGCAGTTGAGGTGAAGATGGAATTCCATTGGAGAGAGCAGGGGAGACCTGTCAGACCTCAGCTGATGGGGACATGGAACACGGTCAGCTGCATTTGGTCCGACAGATCCCATCCTTTGTGCCTGCTCAGGGATAAGGAATTCCTGGAAGCGCCCTGCTGGGGAGGAGCTGGAGCCCTTGCTCAAGGTGGGATGGTGAACTGCCAGCCTGGGGTGTAGGGACCCACATGGAATTGCCCATGTGCCATAGGTTTGGGGTGAGTTGTTTGGGATGGAGCTTCCTGGTTTGGAGTGATGGGATCGGTTGGAGAAGCACTGGGATATCTGAAGGGAGCTCAGGGAGCAGGAAGGCTGCACATCCTGGGGTGATGCATGGGGGGCTCTTGCTGCCCATCCCACCCATGGGCAGCAGAAACATGGTCCTGGGATGCTCCAGGGAAACCACGTTGGAGTCTTCCTGTGTGGTTCTTCCCTCTGCTCCCACCCCCCAAACTTGTCCATGTGGGGCTTTTTTTGTGGGGGAAAAGCTAATTATAGAATCATGGAATGGGTTGGGGTGGAAAAGGAGCTTAAGATCCTCGGGTTCCAACCCCTGCCACGGGCAGGGACACGCTTGCTCCAAATGGCCTTGAACACTGCCAGGGCTGGAGTATCCAAACCTTCTCCATTCAGCCCATCCCAGTGTCCCAGCGCCCTCACAGGGAAGAGCATCTTCCTTCTCTCCACCCTGTTTCAGCCCTGGCCCATCTCGTTTGGGATGTCCTCTCTCTCCTGTGGGATGGGTGCTGTAGGAACCAGAGCTTGCCTGGTGGGAGCAGCTTCTCTTGCTGTTGTCTCTTTGGTTGTGTGGGGCTTGGTTGGGCCGATAACGTGTCCAGGGGTGCTCTCTTTGGCCAGGGGGTGCCCTGAGCTCCACCCCTGCTCTCACCACTCAGGTGCTCTCACAATCCAGGAGGAGATCAGTCAGATCAAGCGCAGGCTGCAGGCGGGCAAGAGGACTCCAGAGAGGCAGAAGAAGAGGCACCGGGATCGCATGGTGGAAAGGTAACAGCACAGGGTTTGGTGGTGGTGGGACTGGAGGGCTCCGTCCTGTTGTTCCCAGTTGTCCCAGTGTTTTGTCTGTTCCCTGTAGAGCTGCTTTGCTCTTCTGCCGGGTGGTTTGATGTCTGTGCTTAGAAGAGAGATGGAAACAAGAAAACGTCCTGTAAATCAGGGAATCATGGAATGGGTTGGGGTGGAAAGGACCTTAAAGCTCCTCCAGCTCCAACCCCTGCCCCGGGCCGGGACACCTTCCATAGAGCAGGTTGCTCCAAGCCCCTGTGTCCAACCTGGCCTTGAACACTGCCAGGGATGGGGCATCCAAACCTTCTCCATTCAACCCATTCCAATGTCCCAGCACCTTCATAGGGAAGAATTTCTTCCCAATGTCCCATCCAGCCCCTGCTCATCCTCGTGGCCTCCTCTGGCCTTGCTCCAGCAGCTCCGTGTCCTCCTTATGTTGAGGACCCCAGTGCTGGGTGCAGCACCCAAGTGGGGTGTCAGGAGAGCAGAGGGGCAGGATCCCCTCCGTGGACCTGCTGCTCACGCTGTGGGGATGCAGCCCAGGTCATGCAAAGGGTTGGAGACTTCCTGAAGTAGAGGGAGGGAGTAGATCCAGTGGGAATGTGGTACCAGAGAGCGGGAATGATGGATTTGTGGCTCTTTTCCCTCTCGCCAGGATCCAGTTTGTTTGTTCACTGTGCAAATACCGGACCTTCTATGACGATGAGATGAGCAGTCACCTGGAGAGCAAATTCCATAAGGAACACTTCAAGTTTGTTGGAACCAAGTTGCCTCAACAAACAGCTGATTTCCTCCAGGTGAGCTCTGGGCACGTGTCTGTGCCTCAGGTTTGTTTGGGGCTTGACTCTTAATAGTAGTAATATCAAATAGTACTTTGGAGATGCTGGAAAGCTCCTGAACTGCTTCTCTAAGTAACCATGGTGGAAACTGCTGGAGAAGGTGGAGTAAGGTTGTGGTAAAGCATCAGAGCTCCTTGTCCACCCCCTTCTCTTGAGCAGGTCGCTTAACCTCTGGTAGGAAGTAAAAGCCTTGCCCACCACGGATCTTGGTGGCCAGATCTTAAGTCCTGCTACAGGACAGAGTGTGGTGGGATCTGTAGGATTGAGGATGAGCAGAGAGATGCAGCTGAAAGTGGGGGGGGGAAAAAGGATTAATGTGAAATATTCCATACAGGAATATGTTGCCAATAAAACCAGGAAAACTGAGGAGCGCCGTAAAGCGATTGAAGACATTAACGCCGTCATTCAGCAGATATACAGGGACCAGGATCTTACACAAGGTGAGTTACTGCTCCTGGGTGTAAGAGTTGCTCCGTTGAGGTGGTTGGGGTTGGAGAGAGAGGGGAAGTCGTAAAATCTGGCACACAGCCCAAATCCCTGGGTTGTTTTCCAGTTAAATCCATTCTTTTCCAGACGTTGGCATGGAGCATTTCATCAAGAAGGTGGAGGCAGCTCATTGTGCTGCCTGTGACCTCTTCATCCCCATGCAGTACGGCATCATCCAGAAGCACCTCAAGTCACTTGACCACAACCACAACCGCAGGGTGAGTTGGGGCTCCCAGTGCCCCACACCAGGAGCATGGATTCCCATGGGCTTAGTTCCCTCCCACTCCTGAAATCCAGGAGAACTCTTCTTCATCCTCGTCTTTGTGGAGTCTGGAGTTAATGTTCATGTTCTTGTGTCCCCAGAAGCAGAGTCTGAGGTTAATCTTGGTGCCCCATCCCTGGCAGTGTCCAAGGCCAGGCTGGATGGGGCTTGGAGCAACCTGCTCTAGTGGAGGAGCTTTAAGGTCCCTTCCAACCCAAACCATTCCATGATCCTATGATTCCCAGGCTGTTTCCCAGAGGTTTTCCCTGTTGCCTCCACTGCTGAGCTGTGACTAATCCCTGGCTTCAGGAGCAAATCTGAGTGGGTTTTATTCTCCTCCCATCCAGGCCATGATGGAGCAATCCAAGAAATCCTCGCTCGTGGTTGCAAGGAGTATTCTCAACAACAAGCTCATCAGTAAGAAACTGGAGCGGTACCTCAAGGTAGGTGTTGGGGCGGGGGGGGG